TAAATGTATACATAGGCCTACTGATGATAGCTTGATTAAGATTTGGATTAGATTGCCTTATCTAGGAAAACCAGGTGAGTTCATTTTACGTAGATGTTTAAATAAGGTAAAGAAACACTTAATTAAAGAGGTAAAATTCATAACTTTATGGCAGTTTAAAAATGTTTCTCATTTTATATCTACTAAGGATCAAACCCCTAAGGAGTACAGAAGTTCTGTTGTCTATCATTTCAAATGTCCAGGCTGCAATAGTGATTATTTTGGTAAGACAGATAGGTGCTTAATAACTAGACTTAAAGAACATTCTTCACGATCTGATAGTGTTATATTTGATCATGTTAAAAACTGTGAGGCATTCCAATATGTTTTAGGATTACAGGGTATACTTGAAAATGATAATGTCGTCTGTAATGTAAGTAATAAATTAGGTTTAATATTTTCTAGTACTAGCATTATTGACAGCTCCCGAAACTGGTCTATCCTGTTCTTTAAAGAAGCGTTCGCTATACGTAGACTACATCCTTTGCTTAACAATGGGCTTAGAGCTTCAAAAGAGCTTTCTTTGTTTTTGTAGGTATCTTTGATCATTAGAGTAATAATGCTTTGATCTTTTGTTTAAATCACTGCTATGTCACCTACTAGAGGTAATGTTTTGATTGGTTAAACACATCTAGATGGATAATTTTTTCATTCCTGATGATGACATAATTAATGTCGAAATATTGAATCCCAACACGATGGCGTGTATTTCAATACTTGGAGTATGTATTATACTTTCTTATCTGAGATTAATCAGTAGACCTTTCAATAATAATCAGTATCATAAGAATAAAAGTAATAATTACATTACATCATATGTCTTGTTTGTCATTAATTAATTAAATTTTGAGAATGCTGATATTATTATAGATCTAGTTGTACATGCTTTAATTAAATATTGTTTACAATAAAATTCAAAAATTTCTCCTAATGTTTCATTCTCAGTGAATAGATTATCAAGCATAAAGTGGCGTTTTAATTCTTGTGATCCACAATTAAACATATCCCAATATGTATTTAACTTATTTTCTATGAGGCTGTTCTTAAGATTTAAGTATACATCATTTCTGACAGAGTTTTAATAGTGAAGTACAATTAAACAGAATGTGGTTTACTGTTTCTTTTTCATTAGTAGTACAAATCTTACATAGACCTGCGTTATTTTTTGACCAGGATTGTCTACGACCATGCGGTATACTTTTATTTATACACCATCAGTACTAGATACAAGAACAATGAAAATTGATTATAAAGCAAAAGTGCTAACTTATCCAATGTTTTTATGTATAATATTTTAATAATTTACAGAAATAGGGCAATGACATAGGATGTGCATCTGACAGGTCACCTCAAATTTACTCTCTTAATTGAGTAATTATTCAAAGTTCTAAGGATACTTTATTGAAGCGACTGAAATTTATTCAATTTTTTTGAGAATGGACAATTGGCCTTTGGAATGTACGATAATTAGGAATTAAATGATGAACACCATCTGCATCAGATACCATAAGAGTTATATGTGATTATAAAGCTAAGTGCTACCTTATCCAGCAATAGTTTAATTTTTAAAAATTTTTATTGATAGGTGTATAATGTAGTAGTAAACCATTTTAAATGGTTACTTTATTGTAGTTGTTTCTAGTTATTTCTATAATATATTAATTACTTACCCTACATCTGTATTGAAAGTTATTTTATTTGCAAAACAACAAAAACAAATTAATTTGTAAATTTTATGTGTGTGGATATTTAGATATTGATTGACAAATTGATTTTTGTGTTGTAGTGATTATTTATACGTTAATTATTTATCCTTCATCTGCATTGAATGTACCTATATTCTATATATATTGTACAGAATAGAATGTGCATCTGACAGGTCACCTCCAATTGATCTCTCTTAATTGTGTAATTATACACAGTTGAAAGGATACTTAGCCTATATTGAAGAGACTGAAATTGTTTTGATTTTTTTGCGAATGGACAATTGGTCTTTGGAATGCACGATAATTAGGTAATAAATGATGTACACCATCTGCGTCAAATACCATACGAGTGATATGTGATTATAAAGAAAAGGACTCACTTACCTTATATTTTCATCTATATTTTTATAACATGTAGGATGGGGTGACGGCATTGTACTTAAGTGCTCTAAAATGTCATAAAGATGCTTGTGAACTTCTTATTCAATCAGGAGCCAACAAGGATATTCAGGCAGATGTAAGTGTGATGTTACATTTTTTTAGTTTTGTTTCTGTCTATAGCTCGAAAACATGCACTATTCTATTATATCAGTCATTCATACTTGTATTAAATATATCATTTAATCATTCATGCTTTATCATTTATATTTGTCACCATAGAATTTCATCAGTATTAACGTACATACAAGTAGTAGTATAAAACCAGGGAACAGTGCTGGTTAAACATTACTTTAATTCAGTAGAAATAATATAGTTAAAAATGATGTTTTACACTAGCCTATTTTTGACCATACGGCCTACTCAGTATGTTGCAAAAATACTCTAAAAGAATTGACACATATTTGTCTCGAACCAGGGCCATAGTTTACCTACAGGTTGTACGGATGCATATTGTGTGGCCTTGGACCATGTCATAGTATTTTTTTTAATCAAAAAGTGTAAATCGATCAGTTGAATTGATTAATAAGTAGCTATCAGTTATGAGTTAATATGTATATTATCAAAATTGCTGGTTTTCCCTGGCGTTTGTCCTACCACCCTGACTGGGACTGTTGTAGGGCCTGAGTAGAACCCTTGTAGAAACGTACAGTACCTTATTCTAATATCGAATATTGTACACTGTGTCCCAGTATATTCATAACATGTTAATTTTAATTAGGCTTCTTTTTATGAATTTGACAATATCCATCAAGTCGTATATATATTTATTAATAGGCGCACATTCATTGTTACTCATATTACATTATGTACGGTAATGTAATTTTGTTTCTGTTTCTTGCATTTTTTTATTCATGGAGGAATATGCATACTGTATCCTGTGAATACATAACACATGTTTTATTTAATTAGCACGCTGTCGTTTACTAAAATGGCTGGTCTGTTTCTGAGATACACATAGTACATTTTAAACAGTTTCTTCTTCATTCGGCTTCTCCCTTCAGGGGTCGCCACAGCAAACAAGTCGTCTCCACTTCGTCCTGTTCATCACATCCTTCCTCTTTCACACCTAGTTCCTTCATGTCCTCCCTTATCACATCCATATACTGTACCTCCTCTTAGGTCTTCCTCTTTTTCTCCTACCTGGTAGCTCCATTTCCAACATCCTCCTTCCAATGTATTCCATGTCTCTTCTGCATACATGGCCATACCATTTCAGCCTCGCCTCTCTCAACTTGTCCCCAAATCGCCTTACATGAACAGATCCTCTAATGAAATCATTTCTGATCTTATCCTTTCTTGTTACACCAAAGGAGAAGCGTAGCATCTTCAATTCTGCAACCTCCATCTCCTCCTCCTGTCTTTTGGTTAGGGCCACTGTCTCCAAACCATACGCCATAGCTGGTCTTACCACTGTTTTGTAGATTTTCCCCTTCATTTTCGCCGACACCCTTCTATCACAGATTACACCAGTTACTCTTCTCCACCCATTCCAGCGTGCCTGCACTCGCTTCTTGACCTCCTTGTAACACCCACCATTGTTCTGAACAGTTGATCCCAAGTACTTAAACTCCTCCACTTCTTCAATCTGGTTTCCTTGCAGGGTCACCATTTCTCTGTGATCTCCATCTTTTATGCACATATACTCAGTCTTTCTCCAACTGACCTTCATTCCCCTTTTTTCCAATGCATATCTCCAATTTTCCAAAATCTCTTCAACCTGTACTCGTCTCTCTGCACATAGTACCACTCTTAAAATTTTTAAAAAGTTAATTTCAACAAAAAGTGTACAGTTTTTTTTTGTTTTGTTTTGTTTTTTTTTTTTTGGTAGTATCTTTGTTTCTTTCTTATCCATTATTTGTATTTGAAAGTAGTTCTTGTTTGAATTCATGATTTTCATGATGTGATACCATATGTTAAAGGCACATATGCGGCCTCGTGGAAGAACACCTCCTTGGTGAACGAGCTTCCATTGTAAAAGAAAGATCTTATTATTATTATTATTAATATAACTATATCATCTGCAAACAACATAGTCCATGGGACCTCCTGTCTTATCTCATCTGCTATCTATCCATCACAACTAAAAACAAGAGAGGGCTCAGTGTCGAGCCTTGGTGTAAACCCACCTCAACTGAAAAACCCTCCGTTGTTCCTATGGCACATCTCAGTACTGTGGTGCTACCTACCAGTGTCACATATTTTTCTGCTACTCCTGACTTTCTCATGCAATACCACAGCTCCTCTCTTGGTACCCTATCATAAGCTTTTTCTAAGTCAACAAACACACAGTGCAGCTCCTAAAAACTGGCACAATAATGCTCTTTCTCCACTCATCAGGCATTTTCCCACTGTCCAAGATTTTATTAAACAGATTTGCCAGAAGCTTTACCGCAAACTTTCCCAAATACTTCCATGCCTCTACAGGTATATCATCAGCACCAACAGCCTTTCCATTTTTCATCTTCTTCAAAGCTTCTCTCACTTCATACTTGCTAATTTGTGGTATATCTTGATCTACTTCATCTACCTCTTCCACCCGTTGCTCCCTTTCATTTTCCTCATTCATCAACCTTTCAAAGTATTCCTTCCATCTTTTCAGTACACTCATCTGGTCTGTCAATACATTTCCATTTACATTCTTAATAGTCCGTACTTGTTGCACATCCTTTCCAGCACGGTCCCTTTGTTTTGCAAGTCGGTACAAGTCCTTCTCCCCTTCCTTTGTATTTAAAGGACATTTTAAACAGTTTAAACAGTAATTTTTATTTTGACTTACTAATATTTTAAATTGTTCAATATCTTAACGTATTTTTCGTCATTGCCAAGTTGTTTTGTCGTGTGATTTTTTATCCTTCTTAACCAAAACATAACAAAGGAAAAACAAATTCCTATTTTAAAATGGACAATAAAGTGTATTTTTTTAGGTATTTCCCAACATCTGTCAACTTGTATAAACAGGGGCGGATCTGGGTTCACATTTGCGGGGAGGGGTCAGACTTTTGTTTATAAAAACCATGAAATGGAAGGGGGTCCGGGGGTGCTTCCCTTGAAAATTTTTCAAGGGAAATAGATGGCGGGAAATGAGCTTTCCTGACTTCTGAAGTGTCTTTTAATGACTTTTAAGTTATTCAAAATTCAAGGTTTTCCCCTTTTGAAAACGGTTAGGTAAACTTTCTCATTCTTATTACAGTAAATAGACCTATTTTTAATGTGTATTACATTAAAAAAAAAATGAGTTGCTAACATATTTTTTTTCCATGAATGGATAAACCCCAAAGAGGGAGGGGGTCAGGGGTCCTCCCCCAGGAGAATTTTAATTATTAGATGGTGGAAAATGGGCTTTCCAGACTTCTGAGGTGTCTTTCATAGTCACTTTTAAGTTCCTCAAATTCAAGGTTTTCCCCATCTTGAAAACAGTCAGGTAAACTTTCTTATTCTTATCATAGTAAGTAGGCCTGTTATGTGTGTGTCCATACATACATAAAAAATTGAGTAAGTTGCATACATAAACCGAAAGGTCCACTGATTAGTCTCAGAAAAGAAAGTATAATACATACTCCAAGTATTGAAATACACGCCATCGTGTTGGGATTCAATATTTCGACATTAATTATGTCATCATCAGGAAATTTCCTGATGATAAAATTTTTTTAAGTTTTTCAAATGTTTAGGTTTTCCCCCTTTTATCTTGAAAACGGTCAGGTAAGCTATCTCATTCTTATTACATTAAATACTAGTAGCCCCTATTATGTGTGTATATATACAGTACATGACAAATATTGAGTCGCCGCATACATAGGTCTATTCTTTCTTTGAACAATGTATTGATCTCAACCCCAAATAAAACGGGGGTTTGGAAATGTTTGATTCTTTGATGGCAAGAAATGAATTTTCCCGACTTCTGAAGTGTCTTTTAATGACTTCTAAGTTCTTCAAAATTCAAGGATTTCCCCTGATGTAAAACGGTCAGGTAAATTCTTCTCACTCTTATTACAGTAAATAGGCTTATGTGTGTAGGCCTACCGGTATACAGAGATTTTTTTTTATTTACATTTATTTTACTTGAAACCTGTCTCTTATACACATCTAGATGTGTATAAGAGACAGGGGCAGGACCCCTGACCCCCAGATCCGCCAATAGTATAAACGTAATAAACCTATAGTCAATGTTATTCATATTGCATTATATAATGCGTTCGCGGTTCTTGCACTTTATTTATTCATTCATTGAGGAATAAGCATCTCCTTTCACATAATTATGGAATTGATAAGGAATTTGAATGTGCAAGTTATGTTTGACTGCATCAGAGAAAGTAGAAATTGGCTTACAAAAGATATTGATTTGTAAATTATTGGTCCGGCCAAAACCGGACAAGCCGGACCACTTCCGACGCCCTTGATCACTATCACTGGCCTTAGAAATTTATTAAGAACAGAAATGATTAAATAGTACATTTAGGCTGATATAAGGTAGGGTCTGAGAAAACAGAGGAAACAGTTTCTCCAAAGGAGTGCACTGAAATTGTATTTAATTCTGTTCTTGAACTTGTAAAGTGTCGATGTCGCAGTGAATGCATAAAAAACAACTTGCAATGTACAGCACTTTGCAAAGGACGTTATTCTAGGCCTACTCAAAAACAAGCTAATTTTTTATATATATTCTACCAGTGTCTATGGTCCTATTATTTCTAGACAAAACTGTTTATATCCGCTCCTTGTTATATTATTTAAGGTACCATTCCAATATTCAATAGTAAGCTTAACACCATAAAAATCAAAGATGGACAAAAATTGACTTTCCTTATAATAACTTTAGGCCTCGACTCACTTTTTTTTTCAGGTCCTCGAATAGGTTTGAATTTAACGATAGAAATATGTTTGAGTAGCCAAGTTCATGTATTTTTAAAATAAAGAAATGGTACCATATGGACAAAAGCGTGGTAGAAGATTGCACCCCAGGAAGCACACAGGTGTTCCATAAGTGGTCAAACTTCCATAGCAGAATGCTTAGATCTGCCAATGAGTGCATTTGTGGCATTTTGGTTTATTTGGTTTTTTTGAAAATTATAGAAAAAG